ACCAAGGCCTAACAAAGTTCTGTAGAGCAATAATAATAATAATAATAATAATAATAATAATAATAACAACAACACCAACAATAATAATAATAATAATAGTAATAATAATGCTCATCGTAGATTTACAAGATGTAGTGTAATACCTGTTGAAAATTCAACGCATTCCCCGAGTTCTGCAGACTTACTGGTCGTCAGAAAACAAACATAGACCTGCATCAAACTGACATTTATACATAACGTACTGTCACGTAGTGTGAGTAATTTTCAACGGGGTTTCGAATTGGATATTGGATTTATTGACTACTTTAACACACAATTCCAGACTACACTCTACAGGTCACTGTCACACGCACGGACTAGAGTCCTCAGTCTATTACAGGCTCCACTAGCCGCTGGCTGCTGCTCCCTCTGCAGGGCGGCATGGTCCTAGCGATCAACGGGAGTAGAAGCGATAAGGTTCTGTCAGACTCACTGCCTACTCATCGGCTTTCAGGCAGTGGGGACAAGACTCAGAGTGATCCTCTAGAGAGTCGCCCCTGAAGGCATGACAGTTATCTATCTTCGATGTTGAACTAGTCTCCTCTCCCTGTTCACTTCTCCGTGGTGTCCTTCGAACTCGATCCCACTAGGCTGTTCGCTGCCTCCAGGGAGTCACTACTGTCTCACACCGAGCGGGCATTACCTCGCTGCGGACATCGTAAGGAGAAGTGTACGAGGTCGGGTCCCAGGACGCCACTTCAATGCCTGGGCCCAGCCCCAAGATGAACCTCTCTATGACTTGTGCATGAAGCCCCCAGACTCAATGCCTCGCACAAGATAGAGACAGTCTCCCCGGACCGAGTCCGCCAAACGTGCGGCGTGCTCTGCCTTCTCTCTAGTAGTCCTGTAGTGCCGCGGTGTCGATGATCGTCGATGATCATGAGGCATGATTTGTCCTCCATCCACCCTGAGGTATTTAGGCTGTCGTCACTCCTTTCTAAAATGTTGAGCGTGAAACGAGGGGATTAGGATGATGACGCCGGCCCTTTCTCCTTTGTGTTGTCCCTTATTTATCACTGAAGTACTGTCGGCTTCCTCTCAGGCACTCCTTCTCATTATGATCGACGCCTCCACACTGCCAGCACATGGGTCGTCCAGCCCTGCTGCGCTCGGACACTGGCAGCTTCGCTGGTGGTCCAGCTGCCTGTAACTTCAGGGTTTGGACCGGAGCTCCACGGAGAGACCCCTAGCAGGAAGCGCCCATAACTCGGCATGTGACCCCCTCCATTTCCGCTCAGTTCACACGACAATGTCTATATCTCAAGTTGTCCATGCGCTTAATTAAACACAATGCCATGAATTGTGGGGGAGTGGAGATATAGCTCCACCTTTCTTCATCTTGGCACTAGATGGAGGCGAGTGGTCAGCTTCACGCTCCTGCAGCTTTACCCCAGCCGAAATCCCCCCACCCATCGGTAACCATTGAATAGGAGGCTTTGTGGGCCCCGAGAGCCAGTCTGAACGCTGTGGAGAAGAGGAAAATCTTGCACTTTCTGGAAAAGAATCAGAGCCATCCAGGCCATAGCCCTCGCTATTCCAGTTGAGCTATTCTGGCTCCGTAACTATAAATGTTTCTCTATAAAATGGCCATGTAACGAAACAAAAGGACCCCCATATCGGAAGCGTAACCGTGTCTGTCGGGCAGAGCAGCTCACTGCTGTATCCGGAACACAGCTGCAATGAACGGAACTGCGGACTGAGACCTAGGTTTGTTCTCAGGTTACTAGACAGCGCGATGTAGGAAGATGATAATGAACTGTGCTATCCCGACATTCGTCTACAGAGACAGAGGAACTCCATAAAGAACTTCCGTTAGAACTAGACGTCGTGACTAGAAAACTAGAGCGTTGAAATGTACAGTAAGAATCAGTTTAAGTAAATATTTTCTTATTGCGAACGCCTGAAGGGACGAGACCGCATGCGACTCTAACGTATAATTGGAAGGATAATATTAAAATGCCTTTTTAAATAAAACAGGTTTGAGGATACGGATTGGATTCATTTGAATTAGGAATGGGTAAAGTGGCCAGCGCCGGTCACGGTAGTTGAGCGGTCTAAGGCGTGCACTGTCTTCGCTCGCTCGGAAGTCGGGATCGTGGGTTCGAATCCCATTCAGGGCATGGATGTTTGTGTACAAGTAGAGGCCTTGCGACGAGCTGATCACCCGCCCAAGGAGTCCTACCGTATGTCTAAGATCTAGAAAAACCGAAGTGAACGGAGAAGTTCATGGAGGTAGGCCTAGGCCCACTGGGGCTGTAGTGTCAAAGGGGAAAAAAAAGTGACAAGCCCTTACGAACACGGTAATGAACCTACGAGTACCTAAGAGAAGGGAATTTCTTGAATAGCTCTATTAGTTTAATTAGTCACACGGGAACATTTGACATTTGCCGCATATAACTACGAAACGTTCTGGAATGTCGACGATAACATCATCATCAACAACAACAACAACAATAACAACAACAACAACAGCAACGGGGGTGTGTACATTCTTTCGGCAGAGTTCGACACTCAAATACCGACAGAATCAATGACGTTTATTTCTCCCATCTATTGGTCCTATTATAACCAGGTCGGATTGGGTTTTCTTATGACTTCCAACAAGAACGACGTAAAGACAAAAAGACGAATGCAAATACAAAACTTTTGGACCAACTCTATATATACGTAGATCAACAACACCTGTGTCCATATTGGTTCTAAGCTACGAATCTCTCTGTTGCAGATGTCGGTGGATGTCGCAGTCCAAATTTATGTAACAAGTCTCAGTTATTCGCTGTTATATCACGGAGATCAGTGTCCCATATGTGGATCGGATGCTGCAGTGTATATTTCTGTAATAAGTCTTCATTAATTGCTGTTAATTACGAAACTCTTTGTTCCACATGTGGGTGGGATGCCACAGTTCAAATTTATGTAACAAGTCCCACTTATATAGGTCGGATAAAAAGCAGTGGCAACACCTCTATAGTTCTGAAATGACTTTATTACCTGAGGTAAACGCACTTACATAACACACGCAGTCACAGGAGTAAGACAAAACACAAAGCACAATATACACAAGAAAGTAGGAAGAATACTCCAACAGAAGAAGATAGGTGTGACTCGCATATTGAGATACGACATAAGGATGACAAATCCTGAACAGTTTTAATATTTTTAATATTTAAAATTTATCAATATATATGACGAATATATATTTTAGTTATTTTAGAATAAAGACAACAGGGCATGCAATGAAGTAGTTTGACGTACATCAAAAAGCACCTGAAGATGGCACTTTTGTGCTGAAACGTAGTGCAAGAGAGAAGAGTAAGGTGAATAAATGTATGCACTGTAAGACGGTCAAATAAATCATGAGCACTTACATTCCTTCAATATAATCGCCCCCCACGTGTACCACCTTCTGCAAAATTTGTGGAAGGCGTCGTACACCATCAGCGCGTCCACTTCTGTTGATGTCCAGCAGTGACCACCCTACAGCACGAATAATCTTCTCTCTTAGTTGTAACGTGTCCTTCGCAGTGGTTATTTTATTTTGGCAAAGAGATGATAATCTCACGGATTCATATCGGGTGAGTATGGCGGATGTTGCAGTATCTCCCATCGCCAGCGGCGAAGGAGATCCTTGACATCATCAGCAGTATGAGCCCTTGCATTGTCATGAAGGATGATGGGGTTCGTTGCCAACAAGTGTCGTCGCTTTCTCCTGAGTGCTGGATGAAGATGATCACGCAGGATATCGGGAGAGTATGACGGATGTTGAAGTATCTCCCATCGCTAGCGGCGAAGGAGATCCTTGACAGCGTCAGCAGTATGAGCCCTTGCATTGTCATGAAGGATGATGGGGTTCGTTGCAAAAAGTGTCGTCGCTTTCTCCTGAGTGCTGGACGAAGATGATTACCCAGGAAATTGTAGTAGTAGGCAGCGTTTACTGTCTGTCGTTGAGGTACAGTGTGGTGCAGTATCACTCCATCAATGTCATATGCCATAATGAATATCGCCTTCACATTACTCTGTGTGGGGCGCACTTTCTTTGGACGAGGAGAGCCAGGATGCTTCCATTCATATGACTGTTGCTTCAAGTGCGGTTCGTATGAGCGAGCCGAAGTTTCGTCCAGAGTGACGATCCTTCCAAGGAAGTCGTCACCTTCATTCTGGTACCGGTCCAACAAGTCCTGTGCAATTGCATAACGTTGCCATTGTAGCACCTCGGACATTATATGGGGTACCCAACGCGCTGCAATTTTGTGGTATCCGAGAATATCGTGCAGAATGTGGAGCACGGTTTTGTGAAATAGCCTACCTCAGCAGCTAACTCCCATGCAGCCCATTGACGATCGACATCCAGCAAAGAAGCAAGAAGCTGACTTGTGTGGTTGTCAACATAGGGTCGTCCTGAACGATGCCTGTCCTGAATGGCATCGCTCCCTTCACGGAACAATTTCACCAATCGCACCAATGTGCGATATGGCAAAGCAGCATCACCACATTCTTTTCGCAGTTTTGTGCACTACGACCTCGTGCAACTTCAATTTTTATCCAGGAGCGTTGTTCTTGTTTCGTAAACATGTTGTTAGAGCGCTTGAACTGAGCTCTGCACTTCAAGACGATGCACAATGCAACTCAATGAAACACAACCAGAGCCACTCACTGCACTACTTCAACTGAACTTCTGCTATCAGCTACAGACGGCGCTATTGCCACCTGACGCACATCTTTCATGTTACAGCAGTGTTGCCACTACTTTTTATCCAACCCTTGTCTTTACTTTTAAAATATGAAAAGCGGTGCTCCACAAGTGGATAGGATTCCACAGTGAAATTTCATACAATAAGTCACCATTAATTGTTGCTAAATTACGAAACACTCTGTTCCAGAATATGGTGGGAAGCCGCAGTCCGGATTTCTATGACAGATCTTCCTTATATGATGCTTAGTCACAAATGTTTGTGTTACAGGTGTGGGTGGATGCCGCAGTCCAGATTTTTTATTCAGTTGGTGCAGGTTTCGGGGTCCATTTGTCCTATGCAAGTTACAATACCTTTCATAATAATTGTCTCCGGTAAGTCCAGCATCTTAAAATTGTGTTCAAAAGCTTAAAATAATTAATTTCCTCTCTGGAATTAAATTTAAAAAACTGCGGTATTTTATTTCCTGTGTATAGTTCATAGTGTATAATTGAAAATAAAAAAATGTATTCGAGTTCGTTGAGGTATATAGGTTAAAATGACCGTGTGATATAAACCTACCCATTTTCGTGGCGTAACCTTTTCCCCATTAAGACACTAAATTCGCAGGATTACTCGTGTGTCTCACAGTTAGTTTTAACACGTATCCGGAGACGTCTTATGGACAAGATTCAGTTGTAACGGTCCTTCACAGATGACTCTCTACGCCATCCACGGAGAACTGTTGCAAGTAAGGAATATACATGCACATCTGACTTTGTGGTGAATTCAGAACCACGTACCAAGGCAATTCACGTAACTGGGTTGGTTTATCCTACACAAGAGGTTTATGTTCAACACAAGCGAATTGTCGGAAATACCGAAATTCATTTCCTCCATCCACGTGGTAGCGCAGTTTGTTCAGGCACTATGCCTTCAAGCCGGAAAGTCGCGAGTTTTAGTCCCGATGAGGTGGATATTTTCATTTTACCTGATCCTTTCAGCCGCACTATGGCCCTGGGGTTGACTCAGCCTCTAAAAGAAATGAGTACCAGGAATCTTCCTAGGGGCAAAGGGCGGCCTGCCAACGCGTAAGGCTGACAACCTCACTGCCACGTGTGAGCGATTTTCTAGAATGTGGGAGCCTCGACGTCTCAAAGCCCTATGGGCCTTCACGGCCTGTTACAGGGATAAGTTTACTTTTTTTTTTCCTTGGCACTACAACCCCAGTGCGCCTAGGCCTACCTCTATGAACTTCTACGTTCACTTCGGTTTTTCTAGATCTTACACATTCGGTAGGACTCCTTGGGCGGGTGATCAGCTCATCGCAAAGCCTCTACCTGTACACAAACACACAAAAACGCACACACACAAACTAAACGTCCATGCCCTGAGTGGGATTCGAACCCACGATCCCGGTTTCCAAGCGAGCGAAGACAGTACATGCCCTAGACCGCTCGGCTACCGTGACCGGCATAGATTTACTTTACCTTACCTTACATCCGGTTGGAAACGTTGAAATCGGTTCAGATCCCCCCCGTGATAAAATTGTGTCGTAAGTAGTAGTACAGTGCGGTCGTATTTTATGCGAGGGTGCGTTCCTTTAGACGTCGCATAATTGAAGATAAGTTTTCCCGCGGAACGTAATTTTTCCCAATTTTGTTTTTTGGATTCGCATTATATCAGACTTCGCGCATAAAGTGAGACTTTATTAATATTTTTATATAAAATTCGCATAAAATGCGACCCCACTGTATTATGACTAATAACTGCGACCTGTTACACCGTGGATTCGCATATACCACAACTGCGATCATATTCCCTGATACAGTTACATACAGGGTGATTCACGAAGTTTTACCCCCACTTAGGGAGGGCATTCCTGAGGCAATTTGGAACAAAAAATGTTAATATACTAATGGTATCGAACTCATAATTAAAGAGCTAAAGTAATTTGAAAACTGGCGAAAAATCTTTTTTCTTCGAATTTCAGTCAAAACAAATTAGAAATACAATACAAACACTTTTTAAATCGTTAATGTTTTAGGAAAGAAGCATTCCAAAACCATTTTTTTTTCCAATTTCTTAATTTTGCATTGTGCAACATTTTTCATCGATTTTGTGTTACAAAATTACATTATTTTCAGCAACCCATTCTGTAAACATACCAATGGTTGCATATCACACCCTTCTCTCAGTATGCTTCCTTTAAACTGTAGTGCTTTAGAAGACAACTGGATTTACATAAGATTTTCAAAAATGTCTCCCTGCACGTCAACACAATGCATCGCACGCGTATGAACCGCTCTGCCTATCTACCTACGCGCAACATTCAAACCGGTCTACCTTATCTGCTGACATAGCTGGCTGGAACGTATGGTCGCCCACGCTGAAGCATAGCGCTGCATTCACAATAATGCGTTTCGAAAATCTGTTGTTACTCCGTAACTATTGAAAATCGACCACAAGTTTATAAGGAAATTTTGCAGGAAATAACCCCAGGAATATGTACCATGGGCCGGGGTAAAACTTCGTGAATCACTCTGTATTGTGAGCTGTAGAAGTGTCTGTGAAACATCTTAGTTACAGCCCAAGGCTTCACTGCAACATGCCTTCCTGTAGTTTCCAGGTAAAGAGGGTTATGAACAAGCTTTTATACTTCTGGTTCCTCTAATCCTGGGATTCCGTTGGTCAAACAGCAAAATTTAATGAGCACCCCTTAAATTTTAGGGGGCAGCATAGTTGGTTGAGGCACTGTGCTACAAACAGGAAGGTCGCGGGTTCAATTCCCGATGAGGTCATTGGATTTTTCAATTGGCCTAATTTATCCAGGCACACTGTGGCCCTGGGGTCGATTCACTCTCTAACAGAAATGAGTACCAAGAATCTTCCAGAAGGTAAAAGTAGGCCGGCGCTTAATGCTGACAAAGCAGCCTCCGTAGTCTAGGGGTAACGTTCCCACCTCATGACTCAAGGTACGCGGGTTCAAACCCGGCGGAGGTCGTGGAATTTTTAAGGGCGTAAAAATTCAGGGAACAAGTCCTCCGGGAGGGACTTTAAGCTGTGGGTCCCGTGTAGTAGATTTAGGGCACGTAAAAGATCCTCATGTCTCTAGGAGACCTCTGAGCAAAATTAGGCAAAAAGTTTCCCGCCCAAGTAGTTTCCAATGCCTCTGGTAGATGGGGGAAGTATCAGGTACCGAGGGCCGACCGAGTTGGCTCAACGGGGCTGATAGCACGCACCAGTACCGGTATGGCAACTGGTAGAACATCAAAGGGGGACGTACAATAGACTATTAGTCGCGGTGCACTGCAATTATATTTTGTAAATAATAACAACAAACCCACGAACTCCGTGGCCTGTAGTCCGCAAGCGTACCGCCGGTTCTCGGTGAAGTTAGTGCTAACTTTTGTGGATAGAGTGTGTCACGTGGTCAGCGCAACGGATCCTCACGGCCGTTAATCTCGGTTTTCTAGACCGAAGCCGCCATTTCCTTGAAATAGCTCCTCAGTTATCGTCAACAGGCTGAGTGGACCCCTTTCCAGACTCACTACTTCTCAGAAAATCTGGTAGCTCCGGGAATCGAACCCGGGACCTCTGGTTCTGTAGCCAGGAACTCTGACCACTAGACCACAGAGGCCGTCATAATAACAAAGACTCCGTAACTAGACTCTGTCACTTAAAAGCGGCTACTGAAGCTGTCTTCAGACACAATTTTACATCGAAGATTACTGTACAGAATGCTCTTAACGTTTCCCCCGGTCGCCCTGCCGAAACTCAACAAAAGAACGCATACAAGGGGTTTACTGCCACTCGTTTGAAAGCTAGCCTCACCCTGATGACGGTAATCAGACTTACGAAAGCAACGAAACTTTTCCGTCGTTTACAAGTATGAACTTGTTTCATTACACTGCTTTAATGAAATAATATTATCCACTCTCGTGTCGACTCTGGAGGTCGGAGTTCCATTCTCGGTAGGGCAAAAATACTTTTATTTCCTTCTAAATGTCCAGACAGGCTATGGGCCTTATACAGTTTTTATAACGCGACTATTTCCGCCGGGGTGGATCTGACCACTCACCCCCATCTGTTGCCGAGGTTAAGAATCATGGAGTTATACAGAATGATTCTAAATTCTTGTCGGGGTTACCGTGGCCTATAAGCAGAGACTCCGACAATAATTTAGAATCACTCTTTACTTCCACCCCCAGCCCCATGCGTCTTCATGTCGTGATGCTTAATTAATTCAGACCAGAGGTATCTTGACTCTTTTTTGTCATGAAACAGAGATCCTTATATGGACGGATAGCAATTCTGAAGGACAGGAACTTGGGAAATTAAACGAAATCGAATAAAGCCTACATAAATTCCATTATTTCAAAATAATTATAAGTTTTTAAAGTACAATATTAACAGATACCGGGGAAGTTGTGTATTTTGGACCAGCTTATAATTTGGACCTGTCGCATTAAGGAAATACCACGAAAGACAGAAGCATATTTCGGACTGCGTTAGCGGCGCCTCTGAAAGACATATTCTTTGAAATTCTTGCAAAAGAAGGACAATCCCTAATTTCTAGTTTTCTTTATAATTTCGTCCGCTTATAAAACACTGTATTCTGGATAGTATTTTACGTAAACGTTCAGTGAGAAACACACCACAATACCTGTAACACATCAGGGTGTCATATGAGAACCTTGTGTGTGAATTTTAAAATCCTTTTATCATCATTAAACATGTCTACCTTTGTACCTAGTAAGCCTGCATAACGCAGTCGGTATAGCGATTGGCTACTGGCTGGATGACCAAGGGGTCGGAGTTCGAGTCCTGGTAGGGTCAAGAATATCCTCTTCTCCACGTCGTCCAGCCCGGCTCTGGGGTTCACCCAGCCTTCTATCCAATGGGTAACGGGGTCTCTTTCCCAGGGGGTAAAGCAGTCGGGGCGTGAAGGTGACGACTCCCCTCCACCTTGTACCGAGATCAAGAAAAAGTGCTTCTATACATCCACACACCTTATACGCCTTCATGGTGTAGTGATTAATCAGTTAAGCACAGGGATAAATTTACCTTCAACTTATCTTTGTACCGAGGGGCACGTGGTAGCGTAGTTGGTTGAGGCTCTATGCTACAAGCCGGAAGGTCGCGGGTTCAAATCCCGATGAGGTCATTGAATTTCTTCAATTGACCTAATCCTTCCCGCCGCACTATGGCCCTGGGGTCGATTCAGCCTTTAGCGGAAATGAGTACCAGTAATATTCTTGGAATGTTCCTGTGGCTAAAGGGTGGCCGGCGCGTAGGGCTGACAACCTTACCGTCATCTATGAGCCGATTGTCTAGAAAATGTGGGAACCTCAACATCACACAACCCTATGGGCCTCCACGGCCTGTTACAGGCATACCTTTACTTACTTACTTTTACTTATGTATGTAAGGGATGAGCCATAAAAATCCCCCCCCCCGCACTGCGACCTTAAATGATCTATTGTGCGTTACATTCACCTTACCTTCGTACCTACTTGTGTAATTTGCACCGGTGGCCCCACTTACACGGATTATTTCGAGTGATGGCATCCTCCAGATAACAACAAGGAAATCGAAATGTATCGATATAAAATGAAAGTAGGAGGATTACAATGAGCGGTAAAAGACAGTGTCGCGTTAATGAAGCAGCTCGAACCTGCTGGGAAGGCGTGGTTCGCAGGGTTTAGAAGCGTCATCAGAAACTGAATCTGCGGAAGCGGAATTAACATCGTTGACTAGAGCTGGTTCAACGAAATCGTGGTGCAAACGATTCTTGATGTGTTGGAGAATATTGTAACGTGCAGAGTCATTGCTATGCAATGACCGCAAGATGGGAGGATATATCAGGGTCGTTACTGGGCAACGGCTCGGTAAACACGTTCCCGCAGCAATGGAGAAGCTGTGTTTTCTACGCGTTCCGTGCCGAGATGTTATAATCAAGGGCCAAGTTTAGACCTAGTCAATATATGTAAGTTAGGCATGATCTGCTCTGTAAAGCCTGTACTGACAGAGGACTTGTGTGTAGTGCAAAAGGAAACATTTTCAATAACACGTTATTTGTGCGAAGTGTACGTTTGACGAAAGGTCAAGTGTATTCATAAGAGACAAACGCATCTTCTAGTCAGAGAGGATATTACACAAGGACTATTACCGCAAGAATTCAATTGGGAAAAGCTCTTGTCGTGGTTCTCAAGGAGCCTGACGCCAAGATGAACTGATTGGCGGTAAACCGCCAGTCGTAAAGTAACTCTGACTCTCTGACGCTCTGACTCTGACCTAGTCAGTTCTTTACAAGAGGCTGTGACGAAGTAAAATTACAGATTGGAGGATTTTCTATGTGGACGAAGCCTCTACCACAGTCGTGCATTGTCCTGAGAAAATCGAACGCGTCATGTTGGAGCCATTGCATCGTGAGCAATAGGACAGAAAGTGGCGTGTATGCTGTAAATGCGAGTTTTTCTATGTTCCCCTGATGCTGATTTATCCCAGGAGAGCATTTCATTTGTAGCTCCTCCAGACACGGGTTTCCGTTGTCAAGACAAAGGCTGCATGGATTCTGAAGTGTTCTGTATACGGAAGCGTCACTTCTTCTCAGTTGTAAAACCGATGCCACAATAAAAGTTGCTGCTAATCTGAGATGGACACATTCTCACACTGAGTCTGAGTACTACTGAAACTCCTCGCAGACATGGGGGTGCCATGCTGTCGCAGCATTCCCACAGCACGCGTACAATGTCACATTCTTCAAGCCACTGAGCACATGCATGGCACCAGTGATCGCAAAGCAGCTGAGAGAAACCCGGGCAGCCTCTGCCTACAGAACATTCTGCGTACCTGGTAGGCGTGCCCTTCCCAAGGGCTGCAACGCTGGAAAATACTGTGAATGGTCTCAGAAACAGCGGATCGTGACTTGTAGGTCGCTGTTTTTTTGCGGATGATGATTTCGTTGCTTCCGTGGTCACGGATCGGCCTGAGACAATCAAATTAGCGAAACCATCTGCAGACAAGGTCGAGTTCTGCATTTGCAACTAGGCAAGCAAGCCCGAAGCAAACTCAGGCTATAATGGATAAATTACTTGGGAAAGATTACTTCAACCTCTTTATTACAACCGTACAACACAGCAAATATCAAGATCAGTGCCTAGTTTCGGCTATCATAGCCATCATCAGGCAAATACACGGTTAACATATATACACCACTGAACTGCAGTACTATTAACATTGGATACAATCCTATTAATCATATAAAACACTTTACGTAAAAAATACAATAAATCAGATTCTATAAAACAGAAGTTATAGTATAAAACAAGAAAATTTTTTTTAGATTGATGTTTTATACCATCGAATCAGTCGTTGGTTTTGTAATTTCGTTGTGTTCTCACGGACAAATTGGTATATTCTATATTTTTTGTATATAAGATTGTATAGGAGGCTCGTGATGTAGATGTAGTAAATAAATGTTAATTGTTTAGTCGGTGCCTCATCTTACAAAGTATTGTCCGTACTGTAGGGAATGCAAACAACGACTCCGTGTAACCGTGTATTTGCCTGATGATGGCTACTGATGACTGAAACATGCAGCAGAGCCGAAACTAGGCACTGATCTTGATATTGTTGTGTTGTGACGGTTGTAATAAAGAGGTTGTATATTGTAACACAACAGGATGCATGAAATGAAAATTATAAAGATTACTTCATTGTTTTCAAACACCGCTGAGCACCGAAGGCCAAAGTCTAGAAGGAAACTAGGACAACACACGTGGGATCTCTGAATAGGCCTAACATAGATAGTTCTTCGGGAGCTAAACTGAAAATGAAAACGTTGTGTGCAGAAACATAAGCTGTGGTTCGAGAGAAGTAAAAGTCATGAGATTCTGAGATCTGCTTCCCTGTTTGTGGCGAAAAGTACGATGAAATCTGGATTCATCGCGAGAGCTGCAAATTTGGTCACACGAAGACTGGTGGAGGCTAGTATCTCTGTGACACATGCGCACACGAATAAGTGGGTTGTAGCTCATGTTCAGCATGTACGAGTATCCATAATGCCCATTATTCAGGCAATTATTTTATCGATTTTATAAATTGTTTGCAGAATATGGTTTATGGCCAATTGACTGATGAGACATATTTCTGTAACAGCAATGTTGTATGCTAAATTCGTATGGTTTTTATGCAGATATTTGAACCTTTAATTTATTTAATATTTGAAAACTTGATTTAATATTTGTGTATTTGCAGTTTCTAGCGAATGAGAACAGAAAATATAATCAAACGTGTGTCATTCAAAAGGTCGAAATTACATGACACGTTGGTCCATCTTACACGCCTCTGGTCCAAATTACCCGGTTGCAGAGTTTTTCTTTAACCATTTTTAAAAATATAATTTCATAAATCGAAAAAAAAAATACTTGTATTAAAATACGCTATATTGCACACAAATTCTGCTTACCGCGCTGTTCATGGGTCTTTATTTGAATTCAGAGTTAAGTGGTCCAAATTACACGGATCTCCCCTAATTTTTCTCTTCGAACAATCTTGATTTATGAAGAAAGCAGTTTTCTGGGATGTGGCGCCGAGTAGATATTGTGTTAACCGATGTTTCGGTTGTACCTGCTCACGCTGGTTCGTTCGCGGATTTCTTCTTGTCTTCTACTCTGCAGATGGAGGCGATATGTTCCTCCGAAACGTCGGTTAAAACAATATCTACACGGCGCTACATACCAGAAAACTGCTTTCTTCATAGTCACCGCCGTGAAGACCTAAAATCTTACACAATCTTGATTTATGGTTAAATTACGTAAAACTATTTGATGTTTTGGATGAGTACGAAATTGGGTCATTTGTGGCTACAAATACAGGAAGTCCGAGGTTCTCTTGGAGGTGCGCATGATGAATGTGACCAATCGCGTGTCTTGACTGCCTTTTTGCCTGTTCTAACAGGGACTGCCTCGTGACTACTGCTGTCAACTGTTTCACCAGCTTCTTCTCCGGTTTCGTCATCTTCACGTACCTCGGCTTCATGTCTCACAAACAAGGCATCCCTATCAGCAGTGTCGCCACTGAAGGTAAGTAGCCGCTGCTCGTGTCAACTTTTACTTGGATCTAGAGGCCAAGCCTCTGGGGCTTTTTGTTTTATTCGCTTAGTGGGGGGTGGAGTCCAACTGGGTCCACTCGGCACGGCGGCCACTGATTGGCCTATTGTAGCCTGCCCCGGGTGATTATTTGATGATGGATAATTTTGTGGAATGAAGATTGGCAAGGGGAACCGAAGTACTCGGAGAAAACCCTCCCCCGTGCCACTTTGTCCACCACAAATCCCACTTGACCAGACCCCGGGATTGAACCCGGGCCGCCGCGGTGGGAAGCCAGCGACTAACCGCTTGAGCTACGGCGCGGCCTAAGCCTCTGGGGCTTCATAAGGAGATGTGTTTCCGAATTCGTCTGTCGTCGTTTCATTACAGCATAACCACCGGTCTACGTGAGACGAAGTAACTTCAGCCGTGTAGCCCGCCACTCCATGACACACAAGGCACATCATAAAAACCCAGCCGGTAGCCCATACTGAATAGCTTCCTACATATACACCAATAGACTAAATACATACGGAACCCCTATAAGGCACAGAAATGTACAGGTATATTCAGCTACAAAATCACGAACTCCTGTGCACACCAAAAAAACGTTTCGCGTGCTGAAAACTACGGAGCTCATCTACGACCCCCTTACTTTCAAATATTTCAAAATTATAATTCCATTTTTATCTAATTTCATTTGACTGCTACATTTTACTTTTAACACATTTAAACTTAACACATATTAATTGAGATATGCCACAAACAAAAAAGTAAAATTAAAATTTAGATTGTAATATTATTGCCACGTGATACAGTGACTATAGTTGGGGTATGGGTTGGTAATTGGATTTACTGAACACTTACAGACCGTAAGGTGTCGTGCCGCGTGCGCGCAGCGAGCAGAAGACAACAGCAACAATGGCTGAAAAGTTGTTCTTTGAGCAACGCAAGGCTGTATTGAAGTTGTACTGGAAATAGGAAAACATTGAAGAGGTACAATGAAAATGGCAGAACGAGTTTGGAACTCAGCCACCAACACGTCGAACAATTGCCCGTATTCGGGATAAATTTGAAGCCGACGGTACTGTTCATGATGTGCATAAGCAAAGATCTGGACGACCACGGATAGTAACAAGTCCAGCTTCCAGTGCTGTGGTGTTGCAACGCTGGTCAGGTGTATCTCGATATGCTTTAGACATCGATTTCTCATGTCATTCGAGAGCTGTTTGGAGATGAGAGAGTTTACCTACAACAAATTGGTGCTCCACCTCACTACCATCGAGATGTCAGGGCGTACTTGGATGACACTCTACCTGGACGATGGATAGGTCGAAGAGGTGCCATTGAGTACCCACCACGGTCTCCAGACCTAACACCTCTCGACTTCTACTTATGGGGAACTTTGAAGGATGAAGTTTATCAAAAAAAGCCAGCTACACTGAACGCGTTACGAGAAACCATCGAAGCGACGTGTGCAGCCATCACACCGGACACACTGACAGCCATAGTTCGCTCAGCAGTTCGGCGGCATCGACGCTGTTTAGCCGCTGATGGTGGTCACTTCGATCACATACAATGACTCTCTCTTTCCCCGCGCAAGAATTGTAACTACATGTCATTTTGTTCCAAAGATATTGACTATCAAAGAGTGAGTACTTTTTTTTTACTTCTCTGTATATTGTAACGTGTTATATATCGTCCGTCGCCGCGCAACGGCTACAATGAAAATTGTTTAATTTCCACAGCGACAAATGGAATACCAACAGACCGTTGCGTAGTAATAACCGTGGCAACAAATTGTTGAAACAGCGGAAATAACGTATCGAGCATAGGAGACGTGAAATTGAATCCTGGAAACAGCTTCCCTCTATTTCGTTCGAAATCAGGTTATAATATTCCAGCTCCGAAGATTTTTTTCAGTTAATTGAAGAGAGTTAGCGAGGAAGATCCATCATGAGAAGAAAGCTCAGAAAAGATGGAAGGCCCACCGTAAATGGCAGAATTTTATCTGAAAGGGCGAGAAGTTCCTCTAAGACGGAAACGCCAAGAGTAACGACAAGTTCCTCCTTACCCGTGAGATGCCCCTGCATCAGTGAACAGCCCACAACTACGGTGAATTGTAACTTCAAGACAGTGCATTGTACCTGTAATATAGGTACACCTATCACGAGTGAAAACAGTTCCGTGAAGAGGAGAGGGTCCACCATGAAGTGTGAAAGTTGCTCCAAGAAGGGAAGGCCCACCTCTGAGGACGAAATACCCATCAATATTTGGATAGTTCCTTCCCAGGTGGAGGAAGCTTCCCAGAAAGGAGGAAGTCCCACAAACAGGAGTTCTGTCGATGGTGAGGGAAGTGAGTCCCAAGCCTCCTCTTGGTGGTCCAACTGCTGCAATTGGAATGCTGTCTGTCCTTATCCGAAGGACCCCTGCCCGCTTTTGAAGGTTTTCTGCCCTTCATCAAGGCTGTTTTCTTTCTCTTGGCTGGGGTGCCCCTGTTGCAGGAGCACGAAAGAAGCACAGCCGGCTCTCACTCTGACGTGGAACTTAAACTTCTGTGTACAACGTGCCACATCAAGACATTAAGAGTACACAGCTCAGCACAGCAAGAGATAAAACACCTAGATCAGAGGATGATCTCGTGGAGGAGCAAGAGTGGGTAATGGAATACACCGAAAACAGGCGGCCAAAACATGGAGGTGTCGCCATCGATACCTATGGAATGGAAGATAGACGAGGAGATTCGTGCAACTGCGAATTCAAACAAAGAAAGGACGGCCAAGCGGGTAGAATACAATGCCAAGGAGAAGGAAGAAATCCCAGAATGGACGGCCGGGCGGGATCTGCATAGCCAGCAAGTACCACCAGTGGATCTTTAAAACCAGGATCGAGCAGGACCTCGAGACGCAGCCTGTTTCCAAGGGGTCGTCCTATTTTGCACTAATCCATTCCCGATTTGAGTAAAATTAAGCCCAAAACGAACAGTTGGAACACAGGATTGAACTCACAGCAGATGATGGAACTCCTGCTGAAAGAGGAGAAACCGACCTCAGTGGACAGGAAACCTGAGGCGGCACAACAAGAGGTCCCCGTAGAAGCCGCCACAGTGATGCCGGTCAGAGAACCAAAGAAGAAACGGCGTAGGGACCGAAACCGCAAAAATTGAAGGAACGGACCCAGGATCAGGATGGATACCGAAAATGACTGGACGAGCCGCCGTGCGAAAGTAGCACGGCAGAAGAAACGAAAGAAATTTTGGGAAAAGCGCATACTGGAGGAACAAGTATTGTAGAAGCACCGGCCTACCCGGCATGAATGGAGAATGAATGATGACGCACCCTAACACGGAGCTGCTTGGGACGAGCATCATTGAAGAAGGTGGCGGAGTAAGAAGGGGAAGTACCGTTAGGCTGTTCGGGTCGAACAACTCTTAGAAGGGAGCAATGTAACGTGTTTTATATGTCGTCCTTCGCTGCGCAACGGCTACAATAGAAATTGTTGAGTTACAACAGCGACAAATCGAATACAAACAGGCCGTTGCGTAGGACTAACCGTGGCAATGAAGTGTTGAAACAGCGGAAATAATGCTTTTCCGCGATAACGAGCATAGAACACGTGAAATCGAACCCTGGGAAAAGCTGCCTTCTATTCCGTCCGAAACCAGGTTATAATATTCCAGCTCCGAAGATTTTTTTTTTCAGTTAATCGAATCGAGACGAGTCAGTTTGTCGTTTCAGTTACAGTTCTAGCAGTCACTGAGAAGCTGTCAAGAACACTGGAAGTTTGCAGTTTGCCAGTAAAAGTGATAATAATTATACTCACTAGTGTAAAAGTGAGCGTTCAATAAACAAATGACCCGAAACCTGCGTGAGGTCATTTGTCGAGTTTCATAGGCAACACGCGACAATATATATATATATATATATAAATACATTTCAATGCTATATAAGGCTGTTATGTTGTTATTTAATGGTGAATTACCTGAAAAATTATTCACGCATGGGCCTACCTGTAAATCCTCATCATTACAGTATGATGATGCACCCCGTTTCTTCCACCCTGAATGAGGTGGATCAAGGTCTGGCAAATTCTTGCGACAGGATTCAAGTTCTGTGGTTAGAGATGCCAGTTTCTTCTCCCATGACATTAGCACAGTTCTAGTCTAGTAAAACACTCCATAGTAGGCCTCACGAAACTCACATAGAAAATTGTGATAAGTCTTTAATGTAATCGGCAAAAAAATGACTCTCAACTCACCAATTTTACTGCCCTTAGATAATTTAATTTTTGTTGACTTATCAGAAATATTGAATACGGTTTATTTATCGGTACTTATGACGGCACGGTTGGAGAATATTTTCGTCACTGAGAACGAGAAAGTACGTAACTTCGAAGATATATACGTCCATGACGATAGAATACGAGCAATATTGCAAATCTGAAAAAAAAAAAAAGTAAAAATATGAGATTCTGAATATACCACATTATATTCAGCTTATATTGGCGACACTGTCAGTGTCTATTCCATGATATATTGCGTCGGCGCAAATGTGGATTAAATGTTCGAATTACGAATTATTCCTCGATATTACATATAAATGAGTAAATTGATGAAAGGCTCTAATGTGACAGTTCTTATATATAAACGTGTATCAGTCCCTCAGAACCAGAAATAACCCGTTCTGATCTAATTAATTTTAAACGTGCAACTTAATACGCATTAGAGCAGGAGATAAAAATGTGTTCTGATGAAATACATATTTTTCAACCGCTTTATGTTAATTATCACATCCAATTGACCACGATCTTGTTTTACTGCAGGCATCAATTGGCGCAGAGCTAACCTCACTAACTTACTCCATGGAGCTCAGTCCTTCTTCCAAAGCCTCCAGTTGCTCAGCTACTCAGGAGTTTACCAATATTTAATAGGACCTGAAGGTTCATTACCATTTTCACAGGAGCACTGGCCCCTATCCTGAGCAAGAATAATCCAATCCATCCTGCATAACTCCTCGTAGCAAACTCTTTTTATGGAGAGGAATTATTAGCCCCACACCCAACCCCTAAGCTGGAGAACATGGCCACAAGGGAGTCATGTAACATGGGAGCTAACCGTACTACAGATATACTCGTAAAACACTGGAAAGTATAAATTATTTTTCTATATCTTGAATATTCATCATATTCATAAATGTATGGAGAAAAAGTTACAAATCTTTGGATATACTCTGTATTTTAAATTATGTACCAGTTTATTATACATGGTTACTCAGGACTGTTTTAAATACAGTTCTAAAATTTCAGACTCATGTAAAATGGAGGTTATATTTGACCGATAAGGATAGAAATTAAATTTATCAGCTTTCAGTTTACATACCCCAGTAGTAGTCAGACATGAAAGTTGTTAACAGACAGACAGACACAGCCTCTTCTATTTTATTTCTGTATTTTGTGTAATGAACATATAAAATGTTAATATGTGCAGTGAAGAAGAGTAGCAAATTGTATTAACAGGAATGAACTTTTGGTGGGGACAGAAACATTTAGTTCTGATGCCTATGCAAATTGTGTGTACATACCCATCATGCTCTAATGACAAGCCTTTTCACCCAACCCAGCCATTTTACCATACTCTTTAGTAACTGGACTGAAAGTTCAATACTGTGAGAAATAGAGTGCACTTTTGGATGCAGTCCTGTGCTAGCTCACATCATAAATCAGTATTTTATGTAGTTTACTTATGTAATTAACTTGAAGAAGCAACCTTACAACCTATTTCCCCAAGAACAAATTTACTTCTAATTACGCTTCCATCTTTGAATTCTTCCAAATAGCAACTTGTATGCATTTCCTCTTTACCCCCACATGAGCTACATGGATTTGTTCTTTGTGACCTCCTTGACTAGAGTGCCCATACAATATTAAATGAGCTGTATAATTTACAAGGTTGCATGAGAATTAAAGATCAGTGTTTACCTGTATCTCTCTTAAGTCTGTTAATGTAAGTCATAAAGTGTGTCATTCAGATGGTGAAATATGGATAAGAGAATAATGTGTTACATATAGAGAGCTTGAGCTTTTCCCTGTCTGGGCAAGATTCCGAATTGTTATGCATTTGGTTTGTGTTAGGCCCAGGCCTGGTGTTCCAGGTGTACCCTGAAGCTGTGGCGACCCTGCCAGGCTCAAATTTCTGGTCAATGCTCTTCTTCTTCATGCTCATCATGCTGGGACTGGACAGTGCCGTGAGTATTCTGAGACTCTAGTGCAGGAGGCAAGGTGCGTGTGGGCTCAAACCTGCTCTTCTGACATTGTGTGACTAGAAAGAAATAGTTTCTAATGAAATGACCAAAAATTATGCAACTACCCTAGTTAATTTGTGAATTGAATTGAATTTATTTACATTCTATAAATCCTAAGCAGGTTATTACCTTTGGATACAGAACAAGTCAAAAGGTTACATACATAAGTACAGGCAATTTTAGCTTAAAAATTAATATAACTTAATTTTACATCATTCTCTATTTACATTGAAGTATTCATCTAAAGAGTAGAAGGAATGAGCATGTAGATAATTCTTTAACTCTGATTTAAACTTTTTAGTATCATTGCCCAAGTTTTTAATACTTTGTGGCAGATTGTTGAACACTTTTATGCCAGTAAAGTAGACTCCTATGAATGCATGTATTAAAACATGACTCTTAATTTTCTTTTGTGAATACATAGTCAAGGTTTCTGTACGTTGCCAAAATATCACATGTTGTGTGTTGGAACAGAAATCTTGACTATGACTTTTAATGGTCAGTTTATGGCTTTAGGGGCTGCATGGGATCATGTTGCTGTGCGTATCCTACTTTAACTTCTGAGTCAGCTGAATAATTTTTATGGGACTTGGAAACTGACATTTGAGTCTGCCTCAACACTATACATTTCCATTCCCAGCAATAAGTAAATAATAAAATTGCAGATGCATAAACCTGTGAAATGACACCAACACTAGCGTCTCATAACATAGGGTTCTGAAATGATGTACAGAAATATTGCTGGAAAGAAATGTGTAACTGATGAAATAATGTCAGGAAAGGTGGATGAATTAAGATACACTGTCCGTGTGTGGAACATAGTGCTTTCACGAGTCTTCCATTTATTAGAGAGCGGAAACGGATGTATAAAAAAAAACAATAAGCATAAATGTTGCCAACTTATGAAGATGATATGATTACCAATCCAACATGACCTCCTAATCTCATCACAATCATAAGTCAACAATCAAGTAAAACATAATATAATTAACTATGCAATCAAATTCAACTTGCGACGAAAATACTCAGTTTTTGGACCTGGCAGAGCTTTGGTCAACAAGTCTGCCATCAACTCTTCACTCTGAATATAATCAAGTTTCACTTTACTTTTCTTTATGGCTTCTCTGATAAAATAATGCTTTAACTCTATATGCTTACTGAATCACCTATCCTTACTTAACATTTGGGCTGACTGATTATCATTAAAGATTACAGGTACTTTCTCGTCATCCATCAATTCTAGTACAAAGTTTGATAAGTAAATCCCTTCTTTAATACCTTCAACCAGTCCATTCAGTAAATCGTGTAAACGTACACACTCTCTAGCGGCATCATTCAGCCCCTTGTACTCAGCTTCAGTACTTGACAATGATAACGAATCTTGTTTCCTGCTTTCCCAAGAAATTACATTACCACCCAATTTGAAAACATATCCAGTATACGAGGTCTTGTCAAGAGGGTCATTACCATGAGCTGCATCAACATATCCACACAAATCTAACTTTGCTGTGGTATTCTTTTGGAACGTTAACTTAGTGTCAACAGTCCCTTTCAAGTATCGTAGTACTCTCTTGGCAGCTCGGACATGCACTTCTCCATAGCAAGTGTTAAAACGAGATAACAAACTTACAGCATGAATTATGTCAGGTCTGGTACAAACTCCGATGTACATGAGACATCCTACTAGACTCTGATACGGAAAACTAGTATCACATACACCCTTCTCCAATTGGGTCCCTGTAACTAGAGGAGTGCGCGCTGGTTTGCTGTCTTGCATGCTGAACTTATCTAGGACATTCCTAATATAGTTGCTCTGATCCAAAGTGATTACATTGTTCGATCTTTCAACTCTCATCCCTAGAATATTCTTAGCTGCACCAAGATTCTTCACTGGGAACTCATTACTTAGTGCCTTCCTAAGCTTCTGCATTTCTACAGTATTACTGTAAAAGACAAAGATGTCATCCACATAAATGGCTACTATCACAACACCTTTCTCACTGGACTTCGTATATACACAGGGTTCGAATTCACACTGTCTAAAGTCATATTTACACAGTTCAGAATGAAGTTGTTCATACCAAATTCGTGAAGATTGCTTAAGACCATACAATCCTGTTCTCAATTTGCATACTTTACCTTTTACATCCGTAGCATTTAGCCCATAAGGCGGAACCATATACACATTCTCCTTAAGAGGGCCATGCAGAAAGGCGGTTACAATGTCCCAATGATCTATTTTCCAATCTAACTGAATAGCTAAAGAAAGCAAAAGTCTTAGTGTGGAGTACCTTACTACGGGAGAAAAGGTTTCTGTATAATTAAACCCATAAGTTTGTGTGAATCCTTTGGCTACTAATCGTGCCTTGTGTTTTGTAATTTTGCCTTCACTATCGTGTTTAATTTTAAACACCCACTTATTACCCACAGCCTTTTCTCCTGGAGGAAGGTTCACTAAGTCCCACGCTTTATTGCTTTTCAAAGCGTCAAGTTCTTCATTTATCGCTTCAATCCACTTGTCACTATCAGCACACTTCAAGGCTTGCTCAATGTCCTCAGGTTCCTGGTCACACTGCACTGCACTATACATGACATGATCAGGAAAAACTCTAGGTGTACGTTTACGTAATGGATACCTTCGGACTTGTGTGTCCTCACCAGCTTGGTCCTGATGGGATCCACCTTCTTCCACTAACTGGATGTCATGGTCCTCACTGTCTACGGTGGTAGTGCTTCTGCTGTCCTCAGAGCCTGACTTATCTTGAACATTCGCCTCCTCCATATCATCTGGATCCTTTGAATGGAACTCACTAACTACGGGCAAAGGATCTGGGGTTGGCTTGCTGTCATCAACTAATTTACCTGGAAACTTATTCTCAAAGAAAACAACTGTTTTGGCAATTGTGAGATTACCCTTGTGGTCAGTGTCCAGCAATCTGTAGGCCTTGCTGCTCTCACTATATCCCACAAATATTTTCTTCTCACCCTTTGGATCCAGCTTCCTTCGCTTCTGTTTTGGGATGTGTGCATAAGCTTCACAGCCAAAAACCCTTAAATGGCTGAGACTTATCCTTTTCTGCCTCCAAAGTTCCTCAGGTATTTTTCCTGACACTGCCTTAGATGGACACCGGTTTCTTACATAGATTGCAGTGTTCACTGCTTCTGCCCAATATCGCTTGTGTAAACCAGCTCCTTCCAGTAAGGTTCTTGCGGTCTCGATTACAGTCCTGTTGGAGCGCTCTATTCTGCCATTTTGTTCAGGACAGAAAATGACTGTTCTTTCATGCTTTATTCCTCTCTCAGCTAGAAACTCATTCATCTGTTTATTACAGAACTCAGTTCCATTATCAGTACGAATGCACTTCAACTTCTCACCTGTTTCGATTTCTGCTCTCAGAGTGAATTCCTTGAAGTGTTTGAAGACGTCTGATTTTGTAGCGAGAAAATATCCAAACATTTTTCTCGAATAATCATCCTTCAAGAGTAGTACATACCTGGAACCACTGAATGATCTTTCTTCTAAAGGCCCACAGAGATCTGCATGAACCAATTCCAGTCTCTTACTTGATCTTGACTCACTCAATGGGAAAGGCTGTCTTGCCAGTTTGCCAGTTACACATGGGATACAATCCAACTTGTTCTCAGAATCAGGAAAATTCACTCCACAATCAATTTTTCTTAACTTCAACATATCAGCTGCATTAAGATGGACCAGACGTTGGTGCCATAAAGCTGGACTCTGTATGTTCGCCCTGTTTGCTTTAGGTTGGCTAATAGCATAGCACTTCAATTTGTCCTCAACTTCTAGTTCATAAATTCCACCCACGTCCTTGGCTGTACCAACTATTGTTCCTGTGACTCGACATCCTTTGCTGTTAAATATCTGACACCCTTTATCTGCAGAGAAAAACATACAGTATCCCTTTTTCACAGTGTTGCTCACAGACAAAAGATTTGCCGTGGCATCGGGCACATACAACACATTAGACAGCTCACGAGCATCGTCGGATCCTTTCAACATTATTGGTACATTACCTTTACCCTTTGATTCCATCACCTGATTATTTGCGACGGTGATTGCTATACTAGGAGTTTCCTGTGTGAACTCTGTCATGCACTTCTTGTCAGGGCTTACATGATTACTGCAGCAGCTGTCAATGTACCATTTTCCTACAATGGGTCTCTCACCTGCCATTGACATCATAGCACCAGTCCTTGTCTTGAATTTGCCCTTCTCTTTTCCAGTACCCCATTTTAAACCTTTCGATGGGCACTCCGAAGCTTTGTGACCGGTCTCATGACATTTGTAACACTTGAATTGGAATTTCTTCTCTCCTCCTTCTTTGTCTGCTCTATCTTCATGAGTCGAGGATTTGTGTTGTCTGAACTGTTGTCTTTTCTTGCCTTGTGTATACATGGCAATCTCTTCTTGATTCGGCTGCTCAGAAGTATTTCTTAAGTCATCTATCGCCAGCAGTTTTCCAACTAGTTCATCCACAGTCATTGGCTCTTTGAGGTTAAAAAGGCTCATTAGAAATGGCTCATAACTCGCAGGCAGTCCACCGAGAAGTATCCATATTTTCCAGTCGTCACTTACTTTGACGTCGACATCCTCTAACTGATGTGATAAGTTCAAGACTTTAGTCACATAGTCATCCATCGACAAACACGTTTCTAACTTACAGTTCCAAAGACTCTGTTGTAGCCATAATTTCCTACCCCAGCCTTTATCTTCGTAGGCTTCTTTCAGCTTCGTCCACGCTTGCTTTGCGGTAGTAGCTGTGCGGACTTTGGCAAAACAAATCGGTTCTAGCAGCATGCAGATGGAAGTACGAGCACGTCGATCCTTATCTGTTGTCACAGTTTCACCTACCTCAGTTCCACTTGTAACTGCACTCCATAGATTCCTGTGTTCTAGATAATTTTGTACTTGAAACTTCCAG